TTCTCCTTCTAGTTCTTTAAATCCTTCTTTGCCTCTTCATACTTTTTTACAATTATTTTAAAACTTATCATTTTGTGAAATTATTAAAAAAATTTTTTTTATTATAATGACATGTTATTATAATATTAATATTATAGATATCTGCTAAAATCTTCTTAAAATAATTTCATCACACCCTTTTTTATATTTTTAATATAATTTTGACAGTTTCAGCTTTTGTCATATTGAAAGGGTTTTGTCATAACTTTTATTATGATTTTAATATAGTTTCGTTTAAATTTCAACTGTTATTAAGGGATTTTTTCCCTCATTTATAATTAATATAATAAGTAGTAATAATTTTATTTTAATGCCTTATTATTATAATTAATTTATTTTAATCTTCCATAATAAGTTTAATTTTTACATACATATTCCTTTAAATTTCTTTATAAAATTATTTCAAGAAATATTTTAAGAATACTGTAAATATAGATATTATTGATGATAATACTATACCAGAGAAAATACCAAATGTTAGCTATTATAATAATTATCAAGATACATTTATTAGGAAATGAAATTTCATTATATGTCTAAAGCAAAATACTATATATTCAATTTGTAAATTAATGTTATCCAAATTTTTAGTGATGTATGTGGATAAACAGGTATCATCACTAAAGATGGTCTTTATAATTATTTTCAAATTTCAATTGAGTTGCAACTTAATTGCGCCATAAGGAAATTTAATTGCGTCACAAGTTGTAACTTAATTGTACCATTTTTTTTAATTGCAGTGATCATCTTTAATTATCATATAATTATATTATTGAATTACTTAACATAAATATATATTATCTTTTGCTTCACTTTGAACAATAAAGATTAATAATAATAAATTTTTAGATTGAAAAAGATTTAATCATACTTAACAAAGATGATAAAATATAAATTTAATAACAAAAAATTAAGAATTGATAAGATCAGATATTCTACATTACTAATGGAATATCCACTAACTTCTTTAGAAGAAATTTTTATAGTATATTATATTAAAACTTGAGAAAATTATGAATCAGCTTTTAATTGTCTGAAGCATAAACGTAGGATACTTTTAATTAAAGTTGAAACTATATATATGATGTTTATCCTACATGTGATATATCAAATTATGTGATAAATATAATATCAATTTGTAATTGGCTAAAATTTAAGTATAATTGATGAATGTTTCTAATACTTCAATGATTCCTATTATGTAATAATATAAAAAATAAACATTATCTTTAATTTAGAATATTATAAAGAATATTTAATAATTATATATCTTTTTTGTAAATATAATATTTTCAAGAATATTCCTTTAAAAATAATAATATATCTGTATAGTATCCTTTCTTAAAATATAATATTAAGAAGTATAATCATATATATCAAGGTATAAAAGTTTATAAATACCTTAAAGATGATCTTAAAGATAAAGTTTATACAGAAGTTGATATAGATCATAATTTTATTCAAACTTCTAATAAAATATTATTGAATCAGAAATCAAAAAAAACTAAGATATAATGGTACTTAAAAATATTACATCACTTGAATACAAATTTTAAAATGACATTTTCTTATGATTAAGATAGTGCAATATCATATAAATTATTTATTAGACTTATTATAACTAAATCTATTTAATATATGAAAATCATTATATAGTAATAAAATAAAATATTTATTTTTGAACAATTAGACGATCCTTTTCTTATGATCATTTTTTTATTAAATTTTTAATGTATACAAATAAAAGTCAAAAATCAATCCAATTATATTAAAACTTTAGTAAATAATTATTTATCATTTTGTATAGCTATCATTAGCTCTAATTACATCATTTATACAAATTGGCATAGTATCAACTAACTTTTTTTTTTGAATTACATCCCATAGCTGATTTTATATTCTAATAGGTATTTTAAACTACTTAATGATGATTTATTTTATTTCAAAGATGTTTTATGGGATTTAAATCAGGAGATTGTACTGGTCAATTAAGAACTTTAATCTTATTATCTTCAACCATTGCTTTGTAAAAAGTGTAGTGTATTTAGAATCATTATTCTATGAAAAAATAATATTTTCTTTATCTATTCTATGCTATGCAATGGTTCTTAATAAGTCTTTCTTTAAAATTTAGTAATATAAATTATCATTTATATATCTATAAATTTAGCATATGTTACCAACTTACTAGATATAAAACATCCTTATATCATAATATTACCCTATTCAAATTTAACTGTAGGTTTAACATAATGATTGCATAATAGTTTTTCTAACTTTTTCTAATAATAATCTCTACTATTTGATCCATAAATCATAAATTTTGACTCATTTGATCAAACCACTTTATTCTAATCTTTAACTATCTATGACTTATATTTTTTTGCAAATTTTATCCTTATGATTCTATGTGTTTTTCAAAGATATAGTTTTTTGCACTTAACTCTTGTACTTATTCTATTTTTATGTAAGGTTCTCTTTATTATATATTCATTAATTTCAATTTGTTCTTCTATTTTTAATTTTTTTTGAATTGTAACAGCATTGCTACATTCATCTATTGTAATTAATCTCAAAACTTTTTATTCATATCAATTAGTTAAGAGTCATAAATGTTCAAATTTAAATTAGTCTTTATTAATACCAGTTTTATCTTATGTTGCTTAGTTTATAACAGTTGATTGAGAAACATTTTCTTTATTTACTATATAATAGGAAGGAAAACTTTCGCCAAATAAGATACAAATCTTAACTCTTTTTTTAATAAAAAGATAAACTATAGATATTTTATAAAATTATAAAAAAGCGATAAATATTATAAGACATCTTTTTATATGTATTACATAGTTATTTTGAAGCAAAAAAATTGTGTAATAAGTATTGATGTTTATTTCTTAAATCATCAAAAAAAATCATTACCACTTTGTCAAAAGATTCATAACAAAAAAAATATTCTTTAAAAAAAAGATGAAAGAGATTAATAAAGATTAAGGTATAATAAACTTTATATTTTAAGTTTTGCAACACTGTACCTTTTAAATTATAAGATATTTTCATTTTAAATTTTGTATTTAGATAATGTAATACTTTTGATCGCATTTTTTTTTTAATAAAAAAATATTTTTAAATCATTTTAGAACTGAAAATTGTTTCTTTTAATAAAAAGAAACTTTCAGATATTTTTTAGAGTTAAATTTAAATCAGATCAAATTTGAATTTTAACTGATTTGTTAGATTTGGATTTGAGATTTGATCTATTAGATTTAGATTAGAATTAGATTTAAATAGATATATCAGATTCAGATTCAAATCAAATTTATAAAAATAAAATCAGATTAGACTATATTTAGATAAAATTTAATTTAATCTGATTTTGTAGAACATTAATTTTTATATAATATGAAAAGAATAAAACTATTAAATAACTAATGATTTATTATTTTTAAATTGCTTCATTACTTTTATAAAAGATATAAAATATTATATATATTATTGTTATATGCTAATATTATATATAAGTCTAGATTATGTGATCATATTATAGAAATACTGATTAATATTTTAAACTAATTAGACGAAAGATTAATTAATTTAATAAAAATTTTTATATTAAATTAAAGAAGATATTTAATTTAATTCTGCTTTAAAAATTCTAATTCTATATAATACAAAAATAATTATATCTATATATTAAAATAAATATTATATAAAAGCTTTTAATTATAATTTTATTTTTTAAAATTAAAATTTAATAAATTAATTTTATCTAAAATCAAATAATAATTAATATTTATATAATAATTTAATAATTAGTAACTTAAAATTAATTGGATTATTAATTGATAAATGGATTCAAATTAACTTAATTTATAATTATAATTAGAAATATAATTTTATAATACATTAATAATAATTATATTAAATTATAATAATTAATTAACTAACATTTGATTAATATAATTTACTTAATCTGTATACTTATATAATTTAAATTAAAATGTTAGGTTTTATCTTTCTGGTAAAATTACTCAATATTTATTTATTAAATAACATAATTACATCATTCTGATTTATTAATTCTATCTCCAGTTTCTTTTTTGATGCCGTAAGTGGTTAGTAAACTTTCGAATTAGTTTAAATTAAGCTTCATAAAATGAAGCGACCGTGTAAAAGGATATATAATTTTTTTTTTACAGGTAAAGTGGCTGTCATACAGGTTTGTTTTACCCGACTCCTTTTCCTCATTTAGTCAGGCTGGACTTGATTTTTAAGTTTGAGATTCATGTACAAGAAACTGGATTTTGGGGGATTCTTTTTTTTTTTGAATGAAGAGAACACAATTGAATGTAAAAGAGAACATTGTAATTCAGCAGGAAGTAATCTTTTTTAAACAAAGGATCAGAAATAAAGATGCAGATAATATTGTAATAATAAATCAATGATTGCATACTACCATATTGTTAGGGTTAACTTAATGATGATCAAATTGGGATTATGATCTTCATTTTGTTCGTAGAGGTCAAGGCGGAATAACGATCGAATACATTTAGCATCGTAATTAAAAACTACGCAAAAATGTACAACATTTTTCGAAAGTCATCTCATTATTTTTATACGCGCGTATTTTATTTTACGCAGTATTTGCTGTATTGTACATAATAACTTGCTTTTTCATCTTTATTAATTAAAAATAATTCATCTATTCCCTTTTATTTTAAATTCACCAAAATTTTCCCTAATGCAAATATGTACACGTGGGAGTCTTCATAATACTTCAATTTATTAATTTGAACTTTTGGGTTTTAGTTATATTATATAATTTCCTTGCTTATCTTATTTTCGTGTTTAGATAAAAAGAGCTTTAAATAAACCTTTAGTGAGTTTATTACTTCTTGAAAATATATAGTGAAGTTCCCTTTAAACCACCACACTTTGAATCATTAAAATATATAATTAAGGTAATGGAAACTAATGACCCAGAATTATCTTCTACATTGGAAGGTGACCAGTCAAAGGGTGACCAACCAACGGCGGAGGTCGAAGTAATTATTGAACAAGCCTCTACTCCCGTTCCTAATAATAAAACGGAGGAAGTTCAACAACAAACAACTCAGATCTCGGAACAACCGACACAAACTACACAGAATAAATGTGAAGTAACCGATAGGCTTACTGCTAAACTTGGTTTAACCGCGGAAAGTCCTCAACATACACCAAAAAGACCTGATATTCATTTAGATATTCAATTGAAGAATAAAGAAAATAATATTGTATTTTTTCCGGCTTTATGCGAAGCGGCTGGCTTCACCATGTTAAAAACGCCACCACGTTATGTGTCAGCTTCCGAGTCTGCAGGTTCAGAAACTCCTCATTCAGACTGGTCTGATAATGACACTCAAAATGAGTTTTCTTCACCTAGACCAAGCACTTCTAATGATCCTTTACCTCCTCCTGTAAACGAGGAAAGTAATGAATTCTTTAAAAAGATTTTAGAAAACGCGGAAAAGTATTCTCAAGAAGAGGTAATTAATTGTTTTTAAAAAAAACAATATGATACTATAAATCATCAATGTTTTTTTTAATTTGATTTACTATACTATAATTTGTTTTAATCGGGATTTATATATTTCAATATTGATTAATAATTAATTATCCTTTTTATTACTTTTTATTTTTCTTTTTTTTTATTGATTTATTTTTTTAAAAAAAAAATGGTAGAAATCTAAAGAAAAATCTCCTAAAAAAAGAAAAGAGAAAGTCAGCAAAAAGGAGCAAAATTATGATGTTAGTGATCCGTTTATAGATGATAGTGATTTGGCACCATTTCAACGAGATTGTGGAAGTATTCGTCCTTCTGTTGAAGGATTTTTTGTATGGAAAGGACCTTTGTCGTTGCAAGGAACGGTAGAGGAGTAAGTAAAAACAAAAAAAAAATTATTTTATAATCATCGTAGGACTTTTTTTGATCAAGGTTTTTGTATTTTAGAGCTGAAGTTGGAAGGAAGAGGTCAACTAAGCGTAGGTCCAAAAATGTTGAAGATAAGGATAAACCACCACAGGGTCGCAAGAAGCGTACCGCGAAGCCTAAAGAAGGAGAAGAACAAGAAGGTGACGACAATACAACCACCAAAGTCAACAAACCTAAGAGATCATATAAAAAGGCCAAGTTGACTATTGAGACTAAATTACAAGATACTCAATCGTCCATGACACAGTCATTCACAAATTTCTTTCCGACTCCTGTCATCAATGTCACTCCTAAACCGAAAGATTTCGCAACAGCACTTAACAATGCTTTCCCACTGAATTCGCCTGATAGACTTCTCACTAATGTAAATCACGAAACACCTAAAACGCCAACTTTCAATAAGGTCATTATACCCGATCCAAATAAAACTCCAGGAAAAAAGAAAAAAGTTTATCCTACAGTAAGATTGAAATAAAATTTAATAAAATTTAAATCGCACAATTATTTCTTGACCTTGGAAATCTATTATTATATTTTAGGATCCTATCCGTCCAGAAATACAAGCACTTGTAGAAGATTTCAAGGCTAAGGTGGATAATGGTAACTATATTGGGGAAATTTTTTGTTTTAATTATTTAATCATATTTTAATAAGATTTAATCAATCGTTAACAGAAACGTTCGAGATTAAGTCGAGATTTCCACCAAGTCTCAAACCTCCATTGATGGAAATTTTAACAAATGCATATGAATGTTCTCAATTTAACGAAAATCTTTTCAAGATATTGACAAATATTTTACCCTATAATAAATTCACTGTAACGGCAAGTATTAATTCGACGATCGATTTATTTTAGTATTCTAATTTCTATTCCTTTAATTAATCATTATCTTTTTTTGCTTAATAGCGACTTTGTCAAAGGACCTTGTATCCTAAAACAATAATCGAATTACAAAATGCCAAGGCGGAGCTGATAGAACATTTAAGAGCTGCCGTTGAGGAAGCAATGCCTCTACTCATTGAGGAGTATAATGAACGACAAGCCACGCGTGCCTTGTTAGATTCCACAACACCTATTGAATCCATTATGGATATTGATGTCGAAACGGATCAATATCAAGATGCAGACGTAGAAACCAAATCTGATAGTCGTTCCGATGGTATTAAATCTGACAGCAGCTCCAATACGGCTAGATCTAGGGATCCTTGTGGTAAAAAATTCAGATGGGAAGAAACCACAAGGTCTCTGTTATGGAAAATAGTTCAAGCGGAAATGTCAATTGTTGTGATGAGTAATGATTTGTGGTATGTATTAGAGGAGTACGTTACCCTTTTTTAATTACTTTTATTTCACACAGATGTATATGATTAACAAATCACAAATATAATATAGGGAAGCGGAGGAAAAGTCTGAAAGATATTCTGAACAGACACAGAGAAAACATCTATATCAGAATGTAAAAATTTTTTTTTTTGTTTTTTTTTGTTTTTTTTTATCTATCAAGCGGATCGCTAATGATTTCATTAATTGATTCAGTTATTGACAGTTTGGCCAAGCGGTTGGATGACTTCATACGAGATAGCACGTGTATATAGTGCATATAAACGATATCTTAGAGATCGACCTCCTGCAGCTTCTACTTCCGCATCTGCAACTTCAACAACTTCAACATCTTCATAATATAAATCGTTTTTTGCTATTGTTTTTCTTCGTGGTGTTATTCTAACCAATAAATTCAATTCCTGGTTAGTCTTGACTTTTCCTATCACTTTTTATAATTAGTCATGGCGTAGCATAGAAAATATCATATGATGCTTTACAATCAGTTTAATTTTCAATTTAATGTAATTATTATACATAATATATATATATATATACATACATACATACATACAAACAAACATACAAACATACATACAAAAAGATAATGAATAGCGTTCGTTATGGCAAAGTTTTGGTAACGTGAAACCAGAATATTCGTATGTTATTTCGAATACTTTTGGTGTAAATCAAATAAAAAACATGCTAGTTATCACACTAGAATTATCGACTCACTTTATTCATTTGTTTTAACATCAACTTTATTAAGAGTGATGGGGTAGAAATTTCATCTCTTGATTATCTCTTTTCATCAAGTAAAGCTGGTTCAATCTAATATCATTAATAGCATCCTAATTTTGTGCAACACCATATATGTTCACAATAAAAGTCATGATGATTATGAGGATATATTAATTCAAAGTGATAAAATTTTACGACATTAAGTATGTATTTCACATAACACCATACCTTTTCATTACGAGAGTATAAAATAGAAAAATAAATATGCGAAGTCAATTCAAAAGGGGAAAGTTTAAATTATCAATGTAAATTTTTACTCTAAAATCATCAAATAAGGGATTTCCAGATACAATTCATTATTAGATTTAACCAATCCTTTTAATAATTAAATTTTTTTTCGAGAGAGAGAGATAAAAAAAAAAACATATTAAATCGTTTCCTATTAATTTATTATTCAAGTTGATGGAATTGAAACTCGACATCTTTACTAGTAAGGTTCTTGTAAACAGCTTTGAAAGTATCAAGCTTATATTCAAAAGATGTAATGTCCTTATTATCAAGGTACCTAAACATCAAGAAAATCTTAATTAGTTATCAATTATACCCGCGATTATTATCTTTATGAAGTACGTACACTTTAATGATCTTACTACCATCGACTTTAACACGTGTCCTCTTTCCCACAATCTCAGTGGGAAACACTAGATCTTCTAGATACTTTTCGTGTACAGAGGTAAGGGTACGTGATCGCGGACGAGCCTGCTTCACACGAGATCTACGACCGGGTTTACGTAAAATACGTCGATCTGCGATGAAAACAATATGACGGTCCGAGAATTTCTTCTCAAGTTCACGAGTGAGCCTGATCCAAAAAAAAATTTTTTTTTTTTGATTAAAAATAATCATTCTTTGATTAAAAATAAGAACAAAACAAAATAATTAAAAGAAAAAATTTTCAAACCTTGATTGGACCTTTTGGAATTGTTTTAATAGAGGGACTGGAACAAATATCACAATGGCCTTTTTCCCACCACCTAATTCATACTTTATATAAAATTAAATCAAATGAATTAATACGATATCAACGGATTCAAGGTTCCATCCTCAACAAAATGAAACCACTCGATTAATTTCAAAAGCTTAATTAACACAAATTATCTAAAAAAATTTGTATTTATAAAATTATCACCGATCACACACACACCTCTTTTGCGTCAGTAATTTGTAAGGGCCTCAAGTCCGTTTTCAATTCCGGAACATTATTTTCCAGATCATAAAGGGCTTGTGCTATCAATTTTGGAGTTTCTTCGGTGGTAGCTTGTCCCTGTTTTTTTGCGATCTTTTTTTCGGCCATTACAATTTTCCTTGTTTCTTTTGAATTTGAGAGGTCGAACAAAAAAAAAAATTTTCAATTTTTTTATGTGAGAATGGTGATACAGATGTGACGTTTCATGAATTTCATTGGCTCCTTAAAAAAATGATGATAAAAAAAGTTTGAATGTTGAGTTAAAACATCAACGCAATTGCAATTATGAGGTCGATATGTTTGGTAGAGCGGGTAATATGGAAATTTGCAGGAAATATGAATCCTCATGCTTTCGACTTTGGTGATGTTGATAATGATGAGGTATTAAAAGGAGAAAAAAAGATAATTTTACAATAATTTAATCAATAAACCTTTTGATAAATATTTTGTTTTCATTATTTATTGAGTGTAGGATAATGAATTTGTGATTGGTAACTTAAAAGGTGAACTGGCAGTGTTTAAAGGTATATCCGTTTGCGGGGAACCTTATATGATTTGCAATGGGTTAGGAACAGTAGGTCATCATCATCATAAATCACGAACATTTTGGGTAAATCGGGTTCAAATTGTTCTTTAACGTTTTGTTCACATGATTATTTTATTAAGATCACTTGTTTGGCCATTGGTGATATCAAGAATTCGGGAAAGGTATATTCAATTGACGTAAAAGATGTGAATCGAATTTGCATTTGATTAATTTTCTTATCGTTTGACATCATCAAAATAAATTACATCAAAAAAGAATTCGATTGTGTGTGTAAACGCGGAAGGTCAGTGCCACATCTTTGATGTAGAACCCAGTTATGAACTAATTCCAACAGTCGATAATGAAAATGCAACATCATCATCAAAGAAAAGTAACGACTCGCAGAATTCTACGATTAGACCCATCATCAATGTCAATCCATTGATCATTGAAAAACCTACAATGACATTGCCCGTTCCTGTTAATTGTAATCGAATCTTGATCGCAGATATCGGTATAGCCAATTTCTTTTGGTATATAACTAGGGTGACCTGAAATTTGTTATTAATTCATTCTGTTATTCATATTTCAGATGGTGATGGGATTAATGAAGTTGTTCTTGCTCGTACTGATCGCATATTACATGTACTTCATTTCCAAAAATTATCCATTGATGATATCAAGTCTCTCACGAAGGAGCAACAAAACATATTGGCTAGGTCAAATATGATGACAGATCTCGCGGCAGAAATGTCGAACTCTAAAGATAAAGAAAAGAAGAGTGTCAATATTGTGATGCATTTGATAGAAAAAAAGAAGTGGTTCTTTGACGGACAGGTAAATAAGTTTTCGCATTCACTTTGTTTGATCTTGTTTTGTCAACATGTCATTTACTAAATTCAAATAGATCACTTCTTTGTCCACAGCCAAGGATCCGATCACTTCTTCTCCATTATTACTTGTTGGCCAGCCTGGCGGTCACTTAATAATTATTGAGAGGAATGAGAAAAAAAACCTTCCTACTCAAGTATCGGATAATCCTGAAAGTAGTGATGAAGTTTCGACTGAAATCGTCAGGGGAACGAGGTTTAAAAACGGTGAGGTAAACTCGTGATGCATTATCCTGATTACAATTGAAAAACATGAATTCCCATAAATTTTATTTCAGGTGAACGTTTGGACGTTGTGGCAATTATCACTATGGATGGTTAGTGATCTTTATTTTTTCTCTTACAATTTATCATACTCTCAATCACAACAATGTCCCCCCCCCCCCTTTTCTAGGCAAATTTACATTATACGATCTTCAAAATTCAAGCATGTCACATCATGAAATTTCAGTTACGCATAAACTGTTTGGAATGGCTGCTATGAACTTTTGCAAAAATGGTGATAAAAAATTCCTTGATGAACCTGAAGAAATGGGAGACGATATTTTTGTTACTTGTGCGTGGAATGGCAATACATATATGATTGATCATGATTTTAATATTGTCAAATTTGAATTTGAAGCAAGGGTTTGTGCATTCGCTGCAGGTATCGTATAAGTATAATCTAGTTAGATTACACTCATGATCTTAAAGAAAATCAAACTAACTTCCAAAATTATATTAGGCCGATATGCTATTACACCCGGTCATAATGTTAATTGTTTTATGTACGTGGATTTTGAGGATCGTATAACCGTTTATTATAATTTGCGAATTAATACAAAACCGGTCACGAATTTCATTGAAATAATGAGTGGTCAATTTAATCAGGTTGGGAATTTTCTTTTTGAGATATTTTTTTTTTTTTTAGTCGACGAATGAATCAATTTATTTAATCATTTGGAACCTTTATTGTAGTTTGATGAATTATTAAGAAACAAAATACCAGATTACGATCAAGGTATTTTTAAAATGGATGTGTATTGATGTTATTATTATCTTTTGAATATTTATTGACTCGTGTTATACTATATATTGTTTAGAAAAAAATGCGCTTTCGAATGGACCAAATCAATCTGAATATAATATCACCGAATTTTTCCATCAATGCTTGTATCAATTGGACGATTATAAGAATATGAAATCTAAACTTCAACGGGAGATCGAAGAAGTATGATACATTGGATACCTTATCAAAAATATGTTGAAAAAAATAAAAAATGTCATTTAATTTTTGAATCTTTGAACATTTATAGCTGAAAAAGAAGAAACACGAAGAAGAAGAGAAGAAACTAAATGAGATAAGGGAAATAAATGAAGCAGCGGAAGGCGATAAATTAGGATCTGCAGAGATATCGAAATCGCTAAATGAAGAACAATGTCAAAATGATCAAGAACCATCAACAATATCAGAACAGGAAGAAGGTATATTTAATTTATTACAGGATGTTGAAAAACGAGAGGTAGAAAACGAATAATATAGATGATATAATGTAAGAAAAGATGATAAGATTTCTACTATTGAGCGATTCCGACACATATATATATATTATTGATACATAAATTAACTCTATATAATAATAAACTTTAATGTAATATATAATTGAAATATGTATATATAATAAAGGGAGTTTTTTATTTATCCATTTGTATTATTTATTGATAAACTAAACATTTATTAGTTAATATATATTAATTAATATAAGCATTTATATAAGGTTTCGCATGAATGGAAGCTTATTAGAAGTAATAAATTTTTTTATCATTTTTTTCTACTATTAAGATAATTCATATAGGATCATAATTATTTTAGTTTTTTAGGAAAAATGATTCTTTCTATATAAGGAAACAATTTCATTTACGTTAATTTATTATCATATAAAAGTGAAAAAATAAATAAATTACATAATTGATTTATCTTGAAGAAAATAGAAAAGGTCAACCACCGGCAAATTCAAAGAAAATGCTTTTGTCACTTCTCAAACATCACGTACATTTATACATTCATATGATAATATTTATAATATTTACAATTTAACCGTTTTATTCACTAATTACAATTATAACAGAAAATTAAATTACTTCCAATGCATTACGTGTATGGCTTTGCATTCTTTTCTACGAAAATAAGATTATATTGTAAAACAACCTATCGGTATGTGTGGATTTTTTTTTTTTAAAAAAAAAAATTTATAATTGAACATGTTTAAAATTTTTTTTTTTTTTTTTTTTTAGTGGAATTAAGACACGTCCCAGTACCTATAAAACCGAAATTTCCTACATTTATTGAAGATCCCGCAGTTTGTAAGTTGACACCGCATATATGGATTAAATTCTTTAAATGATAGGGAGCACAAACCTTCTTTTTCATGCTGTACGCCTACATTAAAACCTATCATTACTAACAAAACCCCACATTAAGCAAAGTTTAAATTGGCAATAACAAGTCCTGTAAGGGAATAGGCTCTCACGTCAGCCTAAGCTGACTCCTTTTCCTTTTTTGTAAGGGTAAGATATTTTAAGAGAATATTACGAGCACCATTTATGTCTCTATCAAGATTTATTTTACATCGGAGGTAGCAAAATTCCTTAGATCCACCTAATTTTTTATGAATGTAGCCACAGGATCCGCAAGTTTTGCTTGTGTATCCTTCTAACAAATTACAACTGACACCATGGATATTCACGTGACTTATGAACCAAATGCTGTAATGTGACCATGTACACATGGCTCGAGCAGTCTTGGAACTAATGCGTCATTGTCCGCGTCGTCGGACCATTCCTTGGGTGCGAAATTCAGGTAGTAGTATTATACGATAGTTTTCACAAAGCCATTTAGCCAGCTTATAATGACAATCATTCACAAGACAATGGATTTTCTTATAAATTCGCAGCATAACACGACGTAATCTACAATTAAAAAGTAGTAAATACATTAAATTATAAATAAATATTAAATAAATAAATAATTAATAAATAAATTTTACCTGTAACGTTTTCGCTTATTTTTTTTTCCATGAATTTGGTCACGCTTGCTTTGGAGTTTGTCATATGCATGACATAATCTGTAAACTCGGCTAATGTCATTTTTTCCCCATTCAACAGCTGTTCCGTTTGGATCATAACCAGTCATGAATGTACATACACCTGGATCCAGAGAAATCACACCTGATCCTTCCTATTAAATTATTAAATATATAATTAATTGATGTTTTAATTTAAAAGATAATATAAATAATAATAAAAAATAGATAAAAACCTTTTGAAATATAGGATCTTGATTTTCAGCCCGTATTTCAAGTGTTCTAGGTACACAAAGATAAAATTCACCAAACCGATTCAGAACAAGTTAGCTATCATGTTCAAGTTTTTCTGAAAGAGGTTCTGATGACTTGATTTTATGAAGAAATGAATATTTACCACAAGATTTACCCCAATGCTTTGATAAGATTGCAATAAACTGCTGAGGATCTTTTTTAGAACAAAATTTCATATTAAATTTTTTACGATTAGAAGCAAAGTTAGAAGAATATCCTTTAAGCAAGTCATTTATTGCTTCATCACGAATGTCATAGGGAGTTTTGAGTACCCATCTGAGGTTGGTATCAATGAAGTTTTTGGCGTTAAGATATAGTGCACATAGATCCTTCTTTTTTCAATTAATATTTTCTTTTTTGACCACAGTAAAGCACTGATTGTATGTCTATCATGCTGTTTCCATCCATCTTCTGAGTTTCAGACGCTCCTGCTAGTTGGGATAAATGTGAATCCGTTGTACCTTACCTGCTGAAAGTTTCTTCACTTCCTTCTTAGAACTCTTAAATCTTTTGAACAGCATCTCTTTTACTTCTGTAATTTGTGACTGAACGTAATCCATTATGTTATATCACAAACACTGTAATAATTGCAAAAAATCTTCTGCAAGTTCTCTAACTTCACTACTTTTAGCACTAACATTCGTACTGAGTACTACAAGCTGAGTCCCATTCTTCTTAAAAAATCATTTCACAAGCTCAAATCCAAAATGACATAATCAGTCCTAATAGAAAAGTTAGTAAAATAAAAAAATAATAAATCAAAGCAAATAAATAATTAAACTCAAACCTTTCAGGTAACCACTACTTCTTCGATTTTTCCTGCGTGTATTCATTCCAGAAGGAAAACAAACCCTCTACATTTCTAGTTAAGCCTAGTGTAGCAGATCTTGGCCTTTTGCTCAGGTTGTGTTTGGTTATTTCTGAAGATTCCTTGTATGTTAGTTGAGACGTTATATATTTTCTTGATTTTTATTTGTACTTTGAGGATCATTAAAAATGTGGTCTTTATTCGGAAATGAGAGATTGACAGTAATACTGTGTTGTTTAAAACTATATTTGATTTTAAACTTTAAACTTTACATAACCGTATTAATAATTAGTAAGTTCAAGTAATACAAAAATGTGGTTTATTCCAGAATGTTCAAATTGTCTCAATAGTTAAACTGTTAAGGATCTGATTATAAATAATTTGTACAGGTAAATTATTTATTTTATTTTAAAATTTTTATATCTAAAAAACTCGTTAACTGATCATAACTTTATGTATCATATTCAAATCAAAAATGTCTATTTCAAACACAATACTACAACATTTGTAATACCTTTCGTATTCAAGGAATAATGATCCAAAAAAATTAAAACAAAAAGATTTGTTATCTTATGTTATGAATAATGATAGAAGAGCTAGAATGGGATGATAAAATTAGTTTTAATTATAACACCAATATCACCTACAAGTAAAATATGATAAAATAAAAGAAATATTCGCAATGATACTGCTATATATTATATATAAGGAAATGTGATCAAAAAAATGTATCAGTATCTATTTTTAATTTTTTTTTTTAAGGTTTTTTGGATGATATATATGGTAATGTATACAAAATCACTAAAGAAATTATTATGTATCTTTTTAAAGATGATCCTCTTCTATTTTTTTGAATGTTTTTTGACGTTTTAGTACATTGAATTTTAAAACACTAGAAAGCACCTTATAAGAATACACTTCCATATTTTGATGCAAATATTTTTCTCTAGAGTTACTCATATATTATTCACTCATTTTTCTAGAATATTAAAATAGTATTCAAGAGATAACAAAGAAAATACGTTAGGATTAATGACTTACTTTTTTCCTACATTAGCAGAAATAGTTATAACAATTAATGAATAATCGTTAAAAGATTTCAAGAAAATAAGATTAAAAGTTTTCTCTGTAATAATGGATAATTCTAATTTACTAATAAGACCCACATTCAATATTTTCAAGATAATTTACTGATAATAAAGTTATATCCTTGATATTTCACTCATCACACTATGCTTTGAGTTAGATATATACATTTAATGATAAATTGATTAAATAGAGCTTAATATATTATATATAGTACTAATGATATTCTTTTGGGACATGCAAAGGATTTTAGGATGTAAGACAAAATTTAGTTTTGTATATGATAGTTATCACAAGATTTCTGATAATAATCGAGAATATTTGATTTTTCTGCATTGTTTAAAGTTTTTTGTGAATAGAAAAATTTCTTTAATTAGATTGGCTAATAGTGTAAATTTTTTTAAGTACACAGAGAATCGTTTATTTTTTCAATCTCTTGATAGTTTATAAACAAGAAATAGATAAGTTAAAAGAAAAGAGAATTGTTATGAAAAGCTAAAGATGCTTTAAAAGGAAACATATTTTGCAATGATCATAATTCTTTTAATGAAATGATTAAATTTTTATTAAATCCTTTTATTTTCTAATATAAATAATAATAATAACAATTTAATATTATTCTAAATAATTTACTTTTGTGATCAATATTAATCCATATATTTGTAAAGATCGTATTACACATAACCTTATTTTGAAAATTTTATTTTATCATCAATTTATTTATTGTAAAAATTTTGAGAAACAGATCCATAAAAACTTGATCAATTATTCAGTGTTAATTCATAGCTTGTGATTTAATTATAGAATCACAAGAATTCCAGAAATTTACTATAAAAAAAAGAATATCAAAAATCAGTAAAATAGAGTAAACAGTATTTTAGCATTACTGCAATAAAAGAGCCTTTTAATACAATAAGAGTGTTTAGTAGTTACGAACAATTCTCACATATACATCATCAGCTCTCTAAACTAATGAAAGCATACAAAGGTCATGCAATCTGAAAGGAGGCTTCAGCAAAAGAATGGTTTGATATTGTCATTATATTGTAAAACAGAAAATACACTTACAATAATGAATGGACTTTGCAAATTGTGGTTTTAACTTCAAAAAGCAGTGGTGGTTAGTATTTTGAATATTAGAATCATGAAAATCTAGAACCTATTATTTTTAAAAAAAAAAGATAAATTGAAAATTAGTAAACTAAGTAAACGGTATTTTGATATTATTATAATAAAAGAGGCCTTTCAATACAATAAGAGTATTTGG